ATCGACAGGTACGAATGGTCGTTGCTTCCTCCCTCTTGCGCCGTTGCTACCACATGGTTCTCTCTCCTCTTCATCCAGGACCACTGGTGCAGTCTTGTGGCGTCTCGGCGGAAAGCGTAGCTCGTTCGAGATAGTTGGCGACCCGAATGGTCAGTTCGCCGCCCAGCACGACGCGCGCGACCTCGGCGGCGACATCATCACGCTCTTCGACAATGCCGTCCGCACAGGAGACACCCACGCGAGGGCAATGGACTACGCGCTGGAATTCGATGGCGACGGCACGCCGACGGTCGCCCGCGTCGAGAGCATGTGGGACAGCGGCATGCGCGCCTACGCCAAGGGCAGCTACCGCCGCCTCGACAACGGCAACAGAGCCGTGTGCTTGGGCTTCGACGTCCCAGACGAGTTCAATCCCAACGACCAGCAAATACAGGTCAGACCCGCTGTCACGAAAAGACAACGACGATGCACACGCGTCTTCACATCAATGCAGGAGGAAAACGTCGTCGGCAACCCATTCTATGCGGAGGTATGTCCGTTCATAGACAATAGAGACGAGTTGCATTGCATCCATTGCCGTCTATTGCATCTGTGTCGTGATTCCTCCGTCTCCTTTGCACGCCTGTGTGGATCAGACGAGCCCATCCGGAAGCTGGTTGGTGAGTCTGAGGTGGGATGGCCCCTATCACAGCTATCGGAGCGTCAAGGCCCCCTGGACGGGCCGGCCCACGTGGCAGCCCGTCGCACTGCTCGACGACGACAACACGGATGGCCTGTTGCAGCTGCACTTCAGCTGGAACGGCGCCACCAATGTGGCCAAGTGGCGGGTCATGCAGGGGTTGGTCGCCGACAATGTCGGCGAGTATCTTGAAACGGTGACGAGGACGCGGTTTGAGCACTGGGTGGCTGTCGATGCGGGCCGCTCGCAGTGCCTGTTTTTCCAGGTGGTGGCGCTGGCCGATGACGACTCCGTCATGGCCTACTCGAGCGTCGTCACCTCCCCCGCCTGCACGTGACTGACGTGACTGCATTCTCTGTCTATTTGTTAATGCGGGCATTCATCTAGGTGCGGATCGCACATGCGTGGATCGCTCTCTTTCGTGGGTGGGTTCTTTGTATATTTTTTTACCTATTCCATTACTTTGCTTTGGCCATCTTTCAATGCGGATGCACAAATGCGTATATTTGTTGCGAATGACTGTGCGGATTTAAGGCTCTTATGGTCTTTTCTGTCACCGCCTGCTTCCACTTGTCTTGGTTATCATGTCCTGGTTATATAAAAGGTGGAGGTGAGGCCTTTCCTTTAGGTCCCCCACCAATTTTTGAGGTGTTCATGCAAGAGTGCGTCTCGAGTGAGCCAGTGTTGATGCTCTGTGAATTTCCCTTTTATCTTCGGTCCATATGTGCACGATGCGGGCCATCTCAGCGGTGCATGTTTTTCGTATGTATTACAGCCAACCAAATGCCATAGGCGTTCTGCCAGCTTGACTTCTCGGTCGTGCCCTTGTTCGATGTTACAAAGAAAATCGAACAAGGGGGAAAGCCCGGATGTACGGGGATATTCATGTCTGTACTGAGTCGCACTTGACTGCATGCATGAGACTGTGCGATAGCGGGTGTGTGTCAAGGACTATATTCGTGTCGTGTCTCTCATCTCAGCCATGGCCACACAAAATGAATGTCCGAGACCTTTTTAACAACCAAAAGGGACAGAATCTCACCACGGGTACCCACTCTTTTTGGAATCAAACAAGCGATGTGAGACAATCTGGTGCAGAACGGAGTCACATTCTCTCATTCGGCTCAAAATGCCACCTCGTAACACGTCTTAGTTGTTGGAGGGGTCAAGAATCCTGGAGGGCCAGATCCACAGCAGCACATGCATCCTCCATGGCAGTATCTGTGTGTCTGGTTTGGTGTGTGCAGGCACAGGCAACCCGCAGACCGTGGAATTCTTCTGGAACGATGACACATCCCTCCCTCCCTCTCCATCTGTCCATCCTTATGGCCTGGCTCTGTGAAAGTTCATGTTCGTGCAAGGGGCCTCACATGTCAAGATTCTCGGCGAGTACAAGTGGACCCCCGCTTCTTGTTTATTTGGTCGGGGAGGATCTGAGCTACCCC